AACAAAATACTAGCAAACCAAATGTAGCACATAAAAAAGAATTATACTCCATGACCACATGAGATTCATTTTAGGAATGCAAAGCTGACTTAATATTCCTAAATCAATTAATGTAATACACTGTATCAATAAAATAAAAAAACAAAACCACATGATCATCTCAATAGATGCAGGAAAAAAGGTATTTGACAAAATCCAATGTCCTTTCATGATAAAAAACACAACATATTACAGAATTTCCTCAGCTTGATAAAGGGCATCTACAAAAACCCCACAGATACCATCATACTTAATGGTGAAAGACTGAATGCTTTCCCCCTAAGGTCAGGAACAAGACAAGTCTATCTACTCTCACCACTTCTACTCAACTTTGTACTGGAGGTTCTAGCAAGTGCAATTAGGTATTTAATTAAAATAAAAGGTATCCAGTTTGGAAAGGAAGAAGTAAAACTATCTCTTTGTAAATGAGCTGATTTGTAGTATATGAAAATTCTAAGGAATATACCAATAAACAAGTTCAGCAAGTTTGAAGAATTCAAGAAAAATTGCATTTTTTAATATACTTACAATTAACAAAAATGAAAGTAAGAAAACAGTTCCATTTACAAGAACATCTATAGAATAAATTTAACAAAAGTGCAAAATATATACTCTGAAAGCTATAAAACATTCTCAAAAGAAATTAAAGAATGTGTAAATAATTGGGAAAACATCCTTGTTTATGGATTGGTAGGTTTAATATTGTTTAAATGGCACTACTCCCCAAATTGATCTATAGATTCAACACAATTCCTATCAGAATCCTAGCTGAAATTTTAGCTAAAATTGTAGAAATTTATAAGCAGATTCTATAATTCATACAGAAATTCAAAGGATCCAGGAGAACCAAAACATTCTTGAAAAAGGACAAAGTTGGAGGACTCACCACTTGTTGATTTCAAAACTTACTACAAAGCAACAGTAATCAAGAAAGTGTGGTACTGGCATGAGATAGACATGTAAATTAATGGAATGGAATTGAGAGTCCAGAAATGAACTCATGTGCCTATGGTCAACTGATTTTCAACAAGTGTGCCAAGACCAATGTGGGAAAGAATAGTCTTTTCAACAAATCGTGCTGGAACAACTAGATAGCCACATTCAAAAGAATGAAATTGGATCCTTACCTCATACTACTTACAGAATTAACTCAAAAGTTATCAAAAACCTAAATGTAAAAGCTAAAACAACACAACTCTTAGAAGAAAACAGGAGTAAATTATCATGAGCTTGAGTTTGGCAAAGAATGCTTAGATCTGACACCAAATGCAAGAGCAACAAAAGAAAAAACAGATAATTTGGATTTCATTAAAATTAAAATCTTTTGTGTTTTAAAGAACACTGTTGGGGACTTCTCTGGTGATGCAGTGGTTAAAAATCCGCTTGCCAATGCAGGGGCCCTGGTTAGAGCCCTGGTCCGGGAAGATCCCACATGCCATGGAGCAACTAAGCCCGTGTGCCATAACTACTGAAGCCCGTGCTCCTAGAGCCCGTGCTCCACAACAAAGAGAAGCCACTGCAATGAGAAGCCCGTGCACTGCAACGAAGGGTAGCCTCTGCTCGCGGCAACTAGAGAAAGCCCGCCTGCAGCAACAAAGACCCAAAGCAGCCAAAAAATTAATTAATTAATTAATTTTTAAAAAAGAACACTCTCAAGAAGTGCAAAGACAACCACAAAATGGGAGAAAATATTTGCAAATCATATATCTGATAAGTTACGTGTATTCAGAATATGCAAAAACTACAACTCAATAATAAAAAGACAAATAACCCAATTTAAAAATAGACAAAGGATCTGAATAGCCATTTCTCCAAGGAAGGTCTGCAAATGGATGATAAGTTCATGAAAAGATGCTTGATGTCATTAGTCATCAGGGAAATGCAAATAAACACCATGATAAGATACCACTTCACACTCACTAGGATGGCTAGACTCAAAAAGTCAGGTAATAACAAGCAGTAATGAAGAAGTTGGAGAAATCCAAACCCTCATATACTGCTGGTGGGAATGTAAAATAAGGCAGCTGCTTTGGAAAACAGTTTGTAAGTTCTTTGAACATTTAAACATGGAGTTACCTTATGAACCACCAATTTTACTCTTAGGTATATACCCAAGAGAAAAGAAAACATTTGTATACACAAAAACATATACACAAATGTTTATAGCAGCATTGTTCATAATAGTCAAAAGGTGAAAGCAACTCAAATATCCATCAAATGATGAATGAATAAACAAAATGTAGTATGTCCATAAAATGGAGTATTATTTGGTTATAAAATGGAATAAAATATTGGTATATGCAACAACATGGATGAACCTTGAAAATATTCATTAAGCGAAAAAAGCCCATTACAAAAGATCATATATAATATGATTCCATATATATGAAATGTCTAGAATAGGCAAATCCATAGAGACAGAAAGTAAGTAAATTAGTGTTTGCTTAGGAGTGGGGGTGTGGAGAAGGATGGGGGCTGACAGTTCATGGAGTTTCTTTTTGAGGTGATGAAAATGTTCTAAAATTCGTGGGACTTCTTGGTGGTCCAGTGGTTAAGACTTCGCCTTCCAATGCAGGGCGTGCAGGTTCGATCTCTGGTCAGGTAGCTAAGATGCCACGTGCATTGTGGCCAAAAAAACAAAACACAAAACAGAAGCAATATTGTAACAAATTCAATAAAGACTTTTAAAAAATGGTCCACATCAAAAACAAAAATCTTTAAAAAAAAAGTTCAAAAATTTGCTGTGGTAAGGGTTTCACATATTTTTGAATATACTAAAAACCACTGAATTGTATACTTTGGGTGAATTGTATGGTATATAAATTATATCTCAATAAAAGTGTTAAATAAGAAAGAGAAAAATGACAATTAAGTGGAACACAAAGTTTTGGACTGGATCTTTTTGCAATAAAGGACATTTTTGTGGTAACTGGGGAAATTTGAATGTTGTCTGGAAGATTAGATGTTAACAAATGTTTTGATGCCGAAACCCGGCCTCTATGCACCAGCACCAAATTGAATCTCATAGACAGAATTTTGGATGAAGTAGAACAGAATAGCTTTATTGCCTTGCCAGGCAAAGGGGCCCACAGTGGGCTAATGCCTTCAAAACTGTGTAGCCCAACCCAGGGAGCTTGTGAGGAGTCTTATAGTCAAGGGGTGGGGTTGCTGATAAGGATCAGGGTGCCTGCAGGACCTGCATTCCTTCAATCTAGAGATCATCTGGCATCAGGTGGTATTGAACTGTGATCTTCTCTCTGGAGGAAGAATGCTTCACCAAGTAGTTAACGTCTTCAGTCTGGTGTGGGTTTTAGTTCTGCAGAAGAGCTCAAAGATATTGTTATGTATATCCCTTGAGGAGGAACCAGGACCCTGCCCAAAGGCTGCACTATTGTTTCTTTTTAAAAAATTAATTAATTAATATTTTTGGCTGCGTTGGGTCTTTGTTTTTGCGCACAGGCTCTCTCTAGTTGTGGTGAGCTGGGGCTACCCTTCGTTGCAGTGCACGGGCTTCTCCTTGATGTGGCTTCTCTTGTTGCAGAGCATGGGCTCTAGGCACGCGGGCTTCAGTAGTTGTGGCACTCGGGCTCAGTAGTTGTGGCTTGTAGGCTCTAGAGCACAGGCTCAGTAGTTGTGGCGCGCGGGCTTAGTTGCTCCGCAGCATGTGGGATCTTCCCAGACCAGGGCACAAACCTGTGTCCCTTGCATTGGCAAGTGGATTCTTAAGCAGTGTGCCACCAGGGAAGCCCTGCACTATTGTTTCTTGACTCCTCCTCCCTGTCTTCACATCCCCCTCCCTTCCCAGATTAGCAATAGTTTGAACCTGCCCTTTGGAACTCAGGGAAGGTCATGGAGGCTGAATGAAGCCTATTTCCTACAAACAAGAAACAGGGGACACAGAAAGGCTTTGGTGCCCAGGAGCCCCATGGGGTCTTGCTTGGTTCCAGGTTCAGTGTTAATTTCCTGATTTTAGTGGTTATATTTCAGTTTTTCAGGAGAATGTACTTATTTGTAGGAGGTGCAAAATGCAAAATTTGTTGGTGATGGAACATCACTGTAGATAACTTACTCTCAAATGTCCAGGAAAAAAGTTTTGGGGGGGCAACTTATCTGTAAGTTTGAGATTGTTTTAAAATATAAATATGCTTAATAAAATACTCGATTTAATTTTAAAATGTGAGGGTAAAGGTGGAGCGTTGAATTCTGAGCAGCCCCAGGGCACTGATAACCCAAGATCTGGCCTGCCAATGGTGGGAGTGGTGGTGGTTTTATCCTTTAGCTAGTTGCATTAGGCCTCCGTAATTTTTCTAAGATTTCCAACTGACATCAGTTTGTATGGAATTTCTACTCTCAAGCTATAGCATTGATTTTGAGAAAGAAAAAGTAATTTTACTCTTATATAAAATAGACAAGAGGGCTTCCCTGGTGGCGCAGTGGTTGAGAATCTGCCTGCTAATGCAGGGGACACGGGTTCGAGCCCTGGTCTGGGAGGATCCCACATGCCGCGGAGCAACTAGGCCTGTGAGCCACAACTACTGAGCCTGCGCGTCTGGAGCCTGTGCTCCGCAACAAGGGAGGCCGCGATAGTGAGAGGCCCGTGCACCGCGATGAAGAGTGGCCCCCGCTTGCCACAACTAGAGAAAGCCCTCGCACAGAAATGAAGACCCAACACAGCAAAAATAAATTAATTAATTAATAAACTCCTACCCCCAACATCTTTTTTTTTTTTGCGGTACGTGGGCCTCTCACTACTGTGGCCTCTCCCATTGCGGAGCACAGGACGCGCAGGCTCAGCGGCCATGGCTCACGGGCCCAGCCGCTCTGCGGCATGTGGGATCTTCCCGGACCGGGGCACGAACCCGTGTCCCCTGCATCGGCAGGCGGACTCTCAACCACTGCGCCACCAGGGAAGCTCCCCACAACATCTTAAAAAAAAAAAAAAACAAAAAACAGACGAGAGCTAGTAGAAGAGATTAATTTATTTGAAAAGGAATACTTCTTTATTGATAGCTACATTTATTAGCAGGGGCCATTAATCAGGAGACAGTGGAAAGAATCGACTGCTTTCAGAACATGTCGCTAGAAGCCGGTGAGCTCGTCATCCTTGCTTTTGTCAGCCTGGTAGCCAGTAAGTGCCAAAGACTGATTTTGTTGAGGAAGGCTCTTGAATACTTTTATGTGAATATAACGATCATTACCTACTCGTATCTGGAAGTTAAAAAAAAGAAAAAAAGAAAAAGGAGATTCATTCACACGGATCCATGTCAAATGAAAGATCTACAGACCTATAAAGATTTAGCTGCAATAAGCTCTTTTGGAATAGCATTCCTAGACCACCATTCTTAGACCCTTAGTTTACATAAAACTTCCATCTTCTTTTATGAGAGAAAGGGCAGGCTAAAGGCATGGCAAGAGACATAGGTCCTAGGTTTATTTTATGGTTTAGTTTACTATATTCTGTGCATAAATGAAAGTCCAGAGTTGCATTTCATTTTCAAAGATGCACAGATCAAGAAAACAAGTGAGTCTTTTTGATGTTTCCATTTTCCGACTCCCAAATTGGGATACTTTGTCTCATGGTTTGAGCAAGGAGAAGAAAATTGGAATTGCCCTAGAGAATTTGGGATGTGTGGTTCCCATATCTATATTAGAACCTGCTTTATAAATGCCCATAGGTAAAACTGAGCAGGGCGCAGGGGTGTAGAGTCTAGTTTCCCTTCTGAAGTAAAGGGATCTTGCTGGGAAATCATTGGTATGAAGATTGAAATGGTAATCTGGGCATGAATCTGGGACCTAGAAAACTATGGTAAGAATTCCAACTTTTGTTCTTGGTTCAGACAGTAAAAGTTTTGTCTTTGAATAATATTTATTGTGCTCTGATGTCCCTTCCTAACCTAATTTTATTTTATTTAAAAAAATTATTATAGAAGGATGGCTTTATTTCCCTGTGCTGTACAATATATCCTTGTAGCATATTTATTTTATACTTAGTAGTTTGTACCTCTTAATCTCCTACCCCTATCTTGCCCCTCCCACATTCCCTCTCCCCACAGATAACCACTAGTTCATTCTTTATATATAAATCTAACTAAACTAATTTTAATAAATGTCATTTATCAAATGTTTACCGTGAGTCAGACACTATGATGACCATCTTATATACTTGATTATATTTACATTTTGTTCCAGGCAAGAAGAAAGGTGGAACAAGGACCATTTTACAGATGCAGAGCAGATTAAGAGAGATTAAGTAATTTTTCATAAATCTGTCAGCTAATAAGTGACAAAGCCAAACTTCAACATCTGTGTTAGTTTCACTCTATGGGGTAACATTTCAAAAACATTTATTCTGTGCTTGGAACAGGGCACCAGCTTTTGCATACATTATTAGAGGCAGCACAGCTAATAGCTAAGTATCAGGCTACTTGGGTTCAAATTCTGTCTGTGCTCTCATAGTATTGTGACCTTTGTTAGTTAGTTCACCTCCCCAGGGGGCAATTTTCTTATCAGCAACAGGAAGGAAATGATCATACTTATAGACATGTTGAGAGGATTAAATGAGATAATACATGCCCAGCTCTTAGGACAGTGCCTGGCACATTGTGAGTGCTTAGTAAACTTCTTTTCTTTTTTAAAAAAATTTTTATTTATTTATTTGGCTGTGCCGGGGTCTTAGTTGTGGCACACTGGATCTTCGTGGCAGCATGTGTGATCTTTAGTTGTGGCATGTGAACTTTTAGTTCCCTGACCAGGGATCAAACCTGGGCCCCCTGAAATGGGAGCATGGAGCTTTATCCACTGGACCACCAGGGAAGTCCCCATAAGTGCTTAGTAAATTTCTAGTTCATTTATTCCACACAACACCCTGCAAAGTAGGTTATTATTACTCATGTTGTGAAGCTAAAGGAATTAAGGCTCAGAGAAGATGAGGGGCTGTGGATCGCACAGGTTTTAACCAGTCAAACAAGCCGAGTAAGTGTTCAAACCCAGGACTGTCTGACACCAAAGCCTACAATCCTTCCATTTTACCACCTGCCTCTTGACAGGTACTTGAGAAAAACAAGAGGAAGTCACATCACCAGCCAGATCTGAAATCCAGAGAGTGAGTGTCTCAGATCAAAGAGGTCAACAGCTAGATGGCCAGGAAGTAAGGAGGAAACTGTGGTCAGTGACTTTAATCCCATAGGAGAAATTTGATAGCAGATGGAGGGTGAGGTAGGGAGGGAAGGGGACTGTGGTCTTAAGGGAAGAAATTTCCAAGATAGTTTTCTGATGGGCCTTTTAAGAAATGTATGAGCTGGTTAGTATGTGAAATTTTTGTACTTGGATTAATCATAAATTATTAAAATAATGATCCCAATTTTGATGGAATGTTTCTTATCTTTGAACAAAACCACTTTTAACTAGAAACCATTCTTTTCTAGCTGTGAAGAAAGCAGGAAGGGAGGAAACAAGACCATTGCTTTCTGAGGACAAGGCAGGATCTTACCCCTGTGTAGCACCCCAGCACCTGGCATGTACCAGGACCTCAAATGTGGTAGGACTGGGCTGATTTGTGTGTGTGTGTGTGTGTGTGTGTGAATTCTGTTTTATTTATTTTTTTATACAGCAGTTCTTATTAGTTATCTATTTTATACATATTAGTGTATATATGTCAATCCCAATCTCCCAATTTGGGCTGATCTTTTCACGTGACCCAGTCTTGTAATTTTTTCATGCAGAGCTGCTTAACAACACATTTTATTTTTTTTGCTGAAAACATTTTAAAAAATTTTATATCTTAAGTGGTTAATTGTTTGTTAAAGAGAAATAAGCCGGATTGTGCCCTCGTCAAGTAGGTTAGTAAAGATTAAGTAAATACATTTGAATGTCTGTTGTAATTATTTACTAAGTGAGAATTATCATCTTCTCAATACAAAAGGTTGAAAATGGCTTCCAAATATCCATGGTTGATTTGTTGGATTGGTTCCCTCTCAATAACTTCACAAAAGTTTTCTTCATTTAGAACTGGATCAGTGCCTCACTTAATTTTCTGATATAACTATAAAATTAATTTTTAAAATACTTTTAATACTCCACTGCTTCAAACTACACCTATAGTGCCACAAGTTGAAACTAGTTATTTGAGTTACAAAAATAATATATTTAAATTATATTAATCAAAATGCTTATTTAAAGGGCAAAAGTTGTTTTAAATTATTTTCCCAGCTAATGATTCAAATCATTCCTTAAACCCATTTAATTTAGACACATAGAATCACAAAGCTTTGAGATGGAATAAACTTCAAGATAGCATCTGGTCCAGCCCCACATCTTTAGGATCCTAGGATCCCACATGAAGATGCCATGGCCACAAGCTAAGCATGCTCTGAATTCTGAAGTCTTTTTCTATACATTTACTGGAAATTAAGTTAAGAATTAATATAAGAAAGCTTTCTAAATTCACAAGAAAAAGATGATATAAATATACCATCATCTGCCAAGTTTGAGAGTTTACCACTTGGGCAGTACCATGCTAGGTAGGCATCTTGATTTAGGACAAGGAGAAAGAACAAATTATAAGGTAGGGGCGACAGGGAGCATTGTATAAAGTGAAAGATACAACAATATCTTTTAGTGCTAAAGCGAATGTTGAACTCTAACCTTAATGTAGTAATTAATTCCAGCAACCACTTGAGTTTTATATTCCACAGCTTTGAATTCTTCATAAGTCTCATTTGTTTTTTCTTCAAGCTGTGGTTTAACCTTAAGAAAAGAGTATGAAATAAAAGTCATATTTTTATGGCAAGACAAGAGAAATTTAAACAACAACAACAAAATCTCTCTGCCCTTTGGCCTCCCTTCTCCCCCCACTTTGCATTTTGTATCTGCATTATGCATCGGCCAAACCACTCCCATCAGCAGGAATACCTGTTCAACCATAAAGAGTAACATGCTCCTAGCATCGACAAGACAATTCCTTAAAAGATAACATCCCTCCTCTATCTTGTAAGGAATCACATGACCCACCACCATGCTGCTTAGATCTGGATTAAATAAACTGTCAACTATACATCATTTGATGTACAGCCCTCAGTCTCGAAAAACTTATATATCTGCCTTGACTTCTAATGGGTAGAACAGTTCTCAGAGCTTTCTGAGATGTTGTTCTTCCTGAGTTATAATCCATAATTTGGCTCGAAAAAATTTCCCATTTCTTTCTTAAATCAACTGATTAATTTTTTGTTGACTAGAGGAAACAAATTACCAAGGCTATATCGAACTCCATTTATGTGATTTACAAATCTGTTAAATATGTATTTACAAATAGGTAAAGATGTCTTTGATTAATAAAAATGGGAGACCGTAATTACTATTTCATTACAAATTTTTTTTTATTTTGGACTCAAAGTTGCAAAAATAGTATAGCATATCTCAAGGCCCTTACTTTAATCACACCCACAAGTCCCTTTGCTGTGCAAGGTAACATATTTAAGGGATTCAGGGATTAGGACGTGGACATCCTTTTTTTTTTTTTTTAGAAGATGTTGGGGGTAGGAGTTTATTAATTTAGTTATTTATTTTTGCTGCGTTGGGTCTTCATTTCTGTGCGAGGGCTTTCTCTAGTTGTGGCAAGCGGGGGCCACTCTTCATCGCGGTGCACGGGCCTCTCACTATCGCAGCCTCTCTTGTTGTGGAGCACAGGCTCCAGACGTGCAGGCTCTGTAGTTGTGGCTCATGGGCCTAGTTGCTCCGCGGTATGTGGGATCTTCCCGGCCCAGGGCTTGAACCCGTGTCCCCTGCATTGGCAAGCAGATTCTTAACACTGCGCTACCAGGGAAGCCGCAGCCCATAACATTTTATGTGCATATACAGCTTTAGTCAGGCCTCCAGTGCATCTAGGGTTCTCCCAAGGCCACACAGTCCTTCCCATCAGTGGGCAAGCATTTTGAAACCTTTTCTATTTGTGCCTCGGCTTGGGTACCAGATTGCTTTCAAAGATCTAGACATTTGCAAACTCTTTGAGTTCTCAGACCATTTTTGAAGGGCAAACACTTCTCGGACCACTACCCATTTCTCCTGTAACATTCAGAATAGATGGGAGGAATGTGATTGCTTTCTTGAGATGGAAAGTGAGGTTGAAAAGTGGAGAAAGGAAGGAAAAAAATAGTGAAGAAAAAAAAGAAAGAAAGAAATGGGAAGAGGTAGGGCGCAGGAGAGAGAAGAGAAGAGTGGACAAGCATGCAGAGAGAATGAGTAAGGGAAGAGTTCAGTGTCTTATTGTTCCCCCCTACCTAATCCTTTTGAGCCTTTTGAGCCACTGGGTACCAGTCAAGTTAGGAGCTGAGCTGGGAAGGGTTAATCTCTACACAAAACCCCAAATTATCTATTTAAGCCTCATTTTGCAGGTGAGGAACGTAAGGCTGTGAGAACATGACTGCTAATGGCTGAAAAATTACTGATTATAGTTACTTGGCATTTTAAATGCCTTGAATAGTGAGTATCTGATTTATCTTTTTTTTTAAACTATGTATCAGACATTTTTATTTCTATCTGTCCTAGAAACACATCCAAATCTGTAACCTTTCCATTGTATCTATGCAGTCCACAAATCCAGAATTTTCCATCAGAGAGTTGATTTCAAATGTCCTGGTTTGTTTCTATAAGTGCTCTGGCACCTATCAGACTGTGTGCCTTGATTGCAGGTTCACTGTACTTATAACCCGTAGCCCTGCTCCCCCTTTCCAGTAAAACAGATTTGTATTGCTCTATTGTTGGATGCTATGAACCTGGGATGATGAGATTTCAGGTGAGCAGGAGGAAAAGGGGCAGAGTTGGAAGGAGCTGATCAGTGAAACCTTATTCAGAAGGCAGGTTGTTGTTGAAAGACCTCCCAGGACGGGTGCTAGGAGGGTGAAGGGCACCTGGGAATGGTGGTCCAGAGTCTGGTGGTAAACAGACAGACATTGAGCTGAACACAGTTGGCATTCACCTTCCTCCACCTGCCATGCATGGTGGTGGTTGAGGTGTTGAAGGGAACAGTGTAGGTTTGTTACTTGGGTCCCAAGCAGGGGAAGGATGCTTCCAGGGAGGAGCGCCTGGTAAAATGCAGTTACCCCAGAGCTGTTCAAGCATTTCTTGTTGCTGCAGAGCATGAATCTCGGTAAGCTGCTAGTTCTCCAGGATCTGAGGATTTAAGCCACACTGAACCCAAGACCCAGTCTACCTGTAATCATTCTGCAGAAACACTTGGACTATGCATAATTTAGGAAAATATGCATAGAAAGATAATGGTGGCAGCATGGATAGGTCATATTTGGGAAGTTTTAGAGAGTAACAAAGGAGAGTTTGGGTAGCAACATGAGAGTACAGTAGGGTTGGTGAGAGGTGATTTGTGGACATTTGTCACCTATGTTTTGAGGGCAGGGGATGTATGGGGCAAGGCACCCAGTATGCAAGAAATGATGGCACCTGGCTTAAGGAGTTCAAAGTCTTAGATTGGAGAGAGGAATGAGATCAACAGGGGATAAATAATTCAGGGCATTCTCGAACAAGATAGTTGCAATCTTTTTTTTTTTTTTTGCGGTACGTGGGCCTCTCACTGTTGTGGCCTCTCCCGTTGTGGAGCACAGGCCCGGACGCGCAGGCTCCGTGGCATGTGGGATCCTCCCAGACTGGGGCACAAACCCGTGTCCCCGGCATCGGCAGGCGGACTCTCAACCACTGCGCCACCAGAGAAGCCCAGCTGCAATCTTTTAAGAGAAAGAACTGAGACGCCATCTGGTTGGGCCATGGGGATGGGACGGGTTGAGAAACTGAGGAGAGAGAAGGTCCAGATCCACCTCTGTGGGGTTTCTAGAAAAGGATCAACAGGATATGACTGAAAGGATGTCCTGGCAGCCCTAGGGTCCTGCTGTGGTTGTTCACTGGCATGAATCTGTAGATGTGTAATGGGTGAGTTTTCTGTGTTTCTACATCTTCCTTGAGCAAAGTTCTCTGAACCTGGAGTAGAAGCTGAGGAGGAAGTTGTGGCAGTGGGAGTGACCTCTAATTAAGGACTGGAATGCCAGAGCTCATGAAGCCATGGAAATCAGGGGTAGAGGAGAGTATGAAACCACCCATCATGCGATCCAGCTGGGTGAGTGCTAGAGTGGGCCTAGGCATGCTCTGATGAAGATGGGAGGTGAGTGTCTGAAGGATTCTGGTGTGGATGAATGGCAGGTTCTCTGGACGTGAGGACAATGGGAGAGGTGACTGATGAGGGGGCTGTAGTCAGAGAGGAGAACACAGGTTTGTGGGTAAGAGCCATGACATGCTAAGCTCCTGGATGTGTCCATAATTGTATGCAGATGGGGTGTTTGTGTGGTGTCCTGGCAGACAAAAAGCATGATCTGTGTGTATGCCAGGAATGGTATTCAGCAGTCACGTTTGACTTAGGGGTATGTGTGTGTGTGTGTGTGTATGTTTTGTGTGTATGCATCTGTGCATGTGTAATAATAGCCCTTATTTCTAAAACTAATTATTGAAATAACATTTCCTTCCTGCACATAAACATACTGAGAATTCTTATCCAATGGTCTTTTACATATGGCATAAGATAATGGATCAGCCATAATGATCCAGAGGCTTTTGCCAGTGGGCCATTCATTTGCTCCTTAATTATGGCTTTTTATGGATGGGGCCATGTTTGGCTCTTTATTTCCTTGTGTGTATCCCTTTTCTCCAATCTATTTTATAAATTTCTCTGAGGGTAGGGACATTTTTTATGTCCCTTCTCTCCCTATAGCAATTCACACAGTACTGTGTACATAATCAGTGTTTTCTTTCTTTCTTTTTTTTCTTTTTATTTTGGCCACACTGCATGGCTTGTAGAGTCTTAGTAGTTCCCGGACTAGGGACTGAACCTGTGTCTTCAGCAGTGAAAGCACAGAGTCCTAACCATTGGACCTCCAGCTAATTCCCAAATCAATGTTTTCTGAATGAAGAAACCAGGCTTGTTTTCCTTCGTGACAACTTGTCTCCCCAAATAGGAAAGAGGAAAGAAGAGGGGCATAGAGAATCTTTGGAAGAGGGGGTTTTTTCCACGTGTACTCTGGACCCAAGTACTACTAACAGCCTTTAGTACCTGATACCAGCATTACCTTCCAGTCTCTGTTATCTTCAGAATGGAGAAACTCCTTTCTTCTGCCTTCAAAAATGTTCAAGTCTTCTCAACCCCAAGCCTTTTGTTTGATTTTCTTCTCTTTCTGAACTGATCCAACCTCTCTCTTTCATTATGATGTCAAATCCCTTGAACATGCAGTCATCATTTTTCTGATGCTTTCCCCTCTCTATGGGATGACCTTCCCTCCTTCAGGCAAAAATCTGAAGTAAACAATTGTAATGCCTCACCTATGCACATTGCTTTCTCGTTTCCAAGTCACGGCCTGCGGGATCTTAGTTCCCGACCAGGGATTAAACCCATGCCCCCTGCACTGGGAGCTCAGACTCCTAACCACTGGACCACCAGAGAATTCCCTCCAAGTCATTTTTATGCAGGTGCTCTCATTAGTCCTTACGGCTCTGAGGTCGAAGGGCAAGAGGTGTTATTTTCATTTCACAGATGAAATTGAGATTCTTTGCCCACCCTCTGATTTTAGAAAGCCCATCTCCCATGGGCCTCTCAGAATACCCTGTATCTGTAGTACTGTAGGCAAGTGAGGTCATGGACAGCCTGGGCATCACCAGAGCTGGTTAGAAATGCAGAACCTCAGGCCCACCCCAGACCTACTGAGTCAAAATCTGGTCTTTTTTTTTTTTTTTTTTATTGTGGTACGCGGGCCTCTCACTGTTGTGGCCTCTCCTGTTGCGGAGCACAGGCTCTGGACACACAGGCTCAGTGGCCATGGCTCACGGGCCCAGCCGCTCCGCGGCATGTGGGATCTTCCCAGACCGGGGCACGAACCCGTGTCCCCTGCATCGGCAGGCGGACTCTCAACCACTGCGCCACCAGGGAAGCCCCAAAATCTGGTCTTTTAACAAGACCTCCAGGTGACCTGTGTGCACATTCAAGTTTGAAAACACTGACAATACAGGGATTTGAATGAAGGCATTAATAACTTAATATTACCTTCTTCAAGAAAGAAAAAGTGACAAGGTATTTACTTTTTTTTTTTTTTTACTCTTAACATGGGTGAATCATCTAATTTATTATTAGCTATTTCCTTTGAAAACTTGCATCTGGATTACCATATCCTTTGGAATGTGCACTTTCTAAGACACCTTGTATTTTGGTGTCTAATTGAAACTTTTGATCTAATATTCTTTCACATATATTTATTCACATTATTGTAAAGTAACTACTTTTTTAAAAGAACTCTTGAAAGGGAAATACTTAGCCCCACAGAATGAGTGGTAGAATTTCAGGCATCTGCTCTCTTAGAGAGCTTCTCAGTGCCCTAACATAGAGAATCCCATCTCTTCCACTTACACAAGAAGCTAATCTTTGCCAAACAGTGTCATAGAATGAAGTTTCAGTGAGAAAAAGCAAGAAGGAATGATATAAGAAAATAGGGCGACAATTTACAAACCTAAAATAGAAATTTATATACTTTTTCTTTTCATAAAATATGCAATACAATAAATTTTTATTATATAGGTAATGGCTAACCAGAAAACACTTAGACAAATGTATTAACCTGCTAAACACATTGAATTCTATTTTCACCATAATGAATCTTGGAATCACCATAGACTGTGCCACTTCTCTACTAGCTTAATCATCTTCCAAATACTAAAACATTGTCCGTTGAGTCAGATTTGTAGGAAGTTTGTATGTGGATCATCTTTATGATATTGCTCTTCATTCAATCTATTAAAATTTTTTTCCTGTAGTGCGTTTGATGTCTAGTTCATCAATTGTTTTTTTTTTTTTAACCATAAGCAGGTTCTTTTTTTTTTCTTAAGTAATTAATTTATTTATGGCTGCATTGGGTCTTCATTGCTGTGCACAGGCTTTCTCTAGTTGCGTCGAGCGGGAGCTACTCTTCGTTGTGGTGCGCAGGCTTCTTATTGTGGTGGCTTCTCTTGTTGCAGACCACAGGCTCTAGGTGCGCGGGCTTCAGTAGTTGTGGCACGCAGGCTCAGTAGTTGTGGCGCACGGGCTTAGTTGCTCCAAGGCATGTGGGATCTTCCTGGACCAGGGCTCAAACCTGTGTCCCCTTCATTGGCAGGCGGATTCCTAACCACTGTGCCACCAGGGAAGTCCCTAGTTCATCAATTGTTAACAACCTCAGACTTTAATTACATGTTGGCTCCACTTGGTGAGAATAGAAAAGTTTCATTAGAAACTGAATTAGTAATCCTAGAACCATACATTGTAAGAGCCTTAGAGATGATCCAATAAAAATTCTTCTTTTACAAATGGGGAACCTGAGGCTCAGAGAAGAGATATGACTTGCTCAATATCACTCTCACATTTAGAATTATCAGAGGTTTCATCTGAAAAACTTTTCAGTTGTAAGGAAACCTGAACAAAACCACACATTTCCCCATATTCTGGTTTTGATGTTCACCCACACATTTAACACAGGGCCAACCTAAACCAAGATTTGGGATCAAACCTTTTCATGAGCTGCATCCACTCACCATGTTAGCGATCTCCTGGACTTCTGGAGTGGCAGGTTGGGCTTCAGGTAAGCCTCCACATATCATTTTGGCTAACTGCGTCTTTTCTGGGCAGGATGCTGGCGCTGAAGTGGTCAGGTAAGGGTGGAGGCTCTGGTTTTTAAAGAAGGTGTTGTTCACAAGCTCCGCCTGTAGAATGTTTTATTTTCCTCAAAGAACAAAAGACAAAGGGAAAATACGTCTTGAAGGGACAAAGGGAGTGTGTCTTGAAGTAAGTCTTCTTGCTTCCTCAGCAGAATATGCTAACAAGAGCTGGCAAGAAGGAGGGGCTGTGGCGGAACAAGTGGGTGTATACAAGGCGTAGTGCTGGAACAAGAGTCAAACTTCCCTGCGTTCTCTTTGACCTTGGTTCCATCCTGTTGCATCTGAAGTATGAAATCCGAAACCACAACCAGAGAGTTTCCCAATGTTTAACTTCTAACAAAAACTTTATTTTTTAAAGGAATATTTCTTTAATAATGTCAAGGCTGATTGTTTAAAGTGGACTAGACTTTATAAAGAAAGTAAAGATCTATCTGGAGAATCTTGGCTGGATGTTTGTATTTTACTTTTATTTACATTTCTAGAACTGTTTAAAATACAGAAAAACACAAAGGATAAAACAATAAATACCTATATTCCTATCGTCCAGAATGAAAACTTTTAACATTTGGTCATATTTGTTTCCTTTTTTCTTTCCTGGTAGTTGTTTTCAAGAAATAAACTTGATATCACAAGTTCCCCACTCCTCAACCCCCAATCTTGCTCTCCACACTTGTAAGCTACATTGTGAGTTTGGTATCCTTCTAGCCCATTTTTTATACTTTTATTTAGTGTGTTTTTAAAAATCTACTTAAATTTTATGCTAAACATATACTCTATATTATGCTTTTTTTCTACTTAATATATTTTTCAGTCATTCCGTGTTGATACACAGAGAGATCAATCTCGTTCATTTCCTTTAAGTGTTATTCTATGATAGATCTATTTATCTATCTACTTATCTCTATCTATTTATCTATCTACCGTTTATCCATTCCCTCTAAGTGCTATATACTATTCCATATTTTACATACTTATTCCCCTACTGATGAAGACTTTGGTTGTTTCCAGTTTTTTACCCTTATAAACAAGAGGCATTTTTTTTTCCCTTTGTACATGTGTGAGGGCTTTTGCAGGCAAATTATCTAAAAGTAAAACTTGTTTTGTGTGAATATTTATTTGTATTATTTTATTCAATTTTTGGAATGTGTAACACGTACACATGATAAAAATGTTCAAAAGGAACAAAAGAGTTTCCAATATAAGAGTGTTCCCTGCATTGGCAGGTGGATTCTTAACCACTGTGCCACCAAGGAAGTCCCTGGAATGCCTTTATCTATGTATTTAGAAAAATAGCAAATGTGGATGACATGATGCTCACTCAAGAGGCCACAAGTCATCTTAAGATTTTGGCTCAGCTCTGGCCACACATAATCCAGACAAGGTGGAGGCGCCAGCCATCCTGGAGTCCAGGTGGTGACACCAATGACATCAGTGACACCAGAAGCAGCAAGGCACCAGAAAACCTGGAGGCACAAGCAGCTATAATGAGGGTACGTGGTGACATCTTTGGCAGAGGCAGTGAGAGTGGAAAGTGCCAATTCTCAAGTACTGGGTTGGCCAAAAAATTCGTTTGGGTTTTTCCATAAGGTTTCTGGAAAAACACGAACGAACTTTTTGGCCAACCCAATATAATGAGAGGCAGCTCAGGTAAAAGAAACCAGAAATGTGTTATAGTTCCACCTACTGAAAAACAAAAGAAAGCCTCCTAATTACTAATCTGGTGAATTGTTTAGAATCAAGTAAAAAAAAAAAAGCTTTACCTAAAGAAGAAAGGTGTTTGCCACTTCAAATGCACTGGCAGAGGAAAACTCATCAAGCACCGTGAAAAACCATGGTAAGATGGTATCACAAAAAGAAATGGACAATTCTCCAGAAACCAAACAAAAAGCCATGGAATATTGCAACCTAACTGAGCGAGAATTCAAAACAGCTGTCATGAAGAAACTCAACGAGCTACAAGAAAACTCAGAAAGGCAGTTCAGTGAGCTCAGGAATAAATTTAATGAACAGAAGGAGTATTTTACCAAAGAGATTGAAATTCTAAAAAGGACCAAACAGAAATTCTGGAGCTTAAGAACTCAATAAATTAGAGGAAGAATGCATCAGAAAGCACTGGAAATAGAGCAGACCACATGGAAGAGAGAAAGAGTGATCAGGAAGATAGAAATGTACAAATGATACAGGTAAATGGGGAGAGAATTAAGAAATTCTCTGAGAATTGTTTGACTCTATTAGGAAGGGCAGTATTAGGATAATGGATATCCCAGAAGGAGAAGAGAGGGAAAAGGGAACAGAGAGTTTATTTAAGTTTATTTACGGAAATAATAGCTGCGAACTTCCCAAGCCTGGGGAAGGAACTGGATATATAGATACAAGTCCATTAAGCTAAGAGAACATCTAATTACCTCAGTGCAAAAAGACCTCCTCCAAGACACATTATGTTCAAACTGTCAAAATTGAATGATGAAGATGGAATTTTAAAGGTAGCCAGGGAAAGAAGGATGGTAACCTACAAAGGAACCTCCATTAGGCAATCAGCAGATTTCTCAGCAGAAACTTTACCTGACAGGAGAGCATGGAACGATATACTCAAATATTGAAAGATAAAAACTGTCAGCCAAGAATATGCAGATATGAAGGAGAAATAAAGGCTTTCCTAGACAAACAAAAGCCAAGAGCGTTCTTCACCATTAGACCTGCCTTACAAGAAATATTGAAAGGAACTCTTCTACCTGAAACAAAAAGGCAAAAGTACACAAAACTTTGAGTAAAGTAGTAAATAGAATCAGAAAATCACAACTCTATATCAGAATAGGGTTTTTTTTTTCTTGTTTGTTTGTATTCAAATAGTCTGAATTATATTTTAGAGCAGATTAGGGTTCAGAGCAAAATTGAGCAGAGAGGACAGAGAGTTCCCTTATGTCCCCTGCTCCTCCCTGCCTGCCCCACGCCCTCCAGGCGCTCAGAGCCTGGCACTCTTCAACTATTCTATGAACATCCTGCACCAGAGCAACGTTTGGTCACAACGGATGAACCTACGTGGACACCTCATGATCACCCAGAGTCCAGAGTTTACCCTAGGGTTCATTCTTGGTGTTGTACATTCTATAGGTTTGTTTTTATTTTTAAAGAATTTTTAAAAAAACTTATTTATTTTTGACTGCATTGAATCTTCATTGCTGCATGCGGGCTTTTCTCTAGTTGTGGTGAGCGGGGGCTACTTTTTGTTGCGCTGTGCTGCCTTCTCATTGCAGTAGCTTCTCTTGTTGCGGAGCACGGGCTCTAGGCACACAGGCTTCAGTAGTTGTGGCTCGCGGGCTCTAGAGCGCAGGCTCAGTAGTTGTGGCGCATGGGCTTAGTTGCTCCGCGGCATGTGGGATCTTCCCAGACCAGGGCTCGAACCCGTGTCCCCTGCATTGGCAGGTGGATTCTTAACCACTGCACCACCAGCGAAGTCCCCATTCTATAGGTTTTGACAAGTGTATCTCATAGTGACAAGTGTATCGATAGTGAGGAAGAGCCTTTCCTCTGCTTTTCTAGGTTCTTCTGGCTGATCTAAGAATTAAATTGACACAAGACAGCAGATGAACAGGAGAAAGTCAAAGTTGAATAACACGTGAGAGAGTCCCAGGAAAACTGACTCACTCGTCAAAGTGGCTGAAGCCCTCATCTTCAATACCATTCTCAGCTAAAGACAAACGAGGATGTCAAGGGTGGAGAGAGTCAATTTGGGGAGGTGACCAGGGAAAACACAGTGGACAAGGGTGATTGTGATGCACATTTAAGTCCGTGCCTTCCCCTCTCTGGCCGTCCTTGTCCTCAATAAGATTTTTTAGAGAATGGGTGATCCTCCTCTTCCAGGTCCTGAGAGGGAGTCACGCTTACAAATGGAAAATTTCCTTATGAAAGGGCAACTCCTACTTGGTTTCCAGAGCCCTTTCCACAACTCAAGAAATAACCAGCTTCAAACAATATGCCAAAGAGACATAGGTGAGGGTGGCAAATTCTGCTCCCCTACACATGCATCCATGGGAGAAACCCTGCTGGGAGAACCGAGTCACTTGCCAAAATGGCCAAAGCCCTCCTCTGAAAAACACCTTTGGCTCCTAAAGACCAAAGAGGGTGTGGAGGGTAGTGGTTTGGGACTTCAAAGGGGAGGAAGGTCACTCACCCGGAGATGGAAAAGCAAAGGTTTGGTAAACCAGTGTTTGCCTCACTATGCAGAGATGATGGGACATAGCAGCGTGGACTCAGATCTCTAGGAGTTTCTCCCACCACACCCAGCCCCATATTCTTTGGCGACCTCTCTGGTGATCACTTACCAGTCCCCCCTGCCCCCATGGAGTGGGGATGACCATGAGGAGGCAGCACCTGGCCCTGCAAGGGGGACAGGTGTGCCTCCCTTTCTGTCTCCACCCCCTAAGAGAGCTGCTCACAGGACACACCACTGCAGTGGAGACCCGAGGGGCTAGCTGGGAAAGGGAAACGACTCATCGCTTAGCCTCAGGCACCTGAGGGGAGACCTGGAGTGCTCCATGGGCACCACAGGGGGCCAGGTGAGACATGTTCACATGCTGACGGATGGGAGTGCAGTGCAGCGGCAGGATGGCCCTCCCCACCGCAGGGAGGAGTTGAAGCGACAGTGTCTGCTGCATCAGAGGACTCCAGCACCGCCAGCTGGATGCTGCACCCCTGCCTTCCACACACCACCGACGGGCAGGGAGGAGAGGCAAGGGGCCCCACGGACAGAACGAGAAGAGTGGCCCATTTGCCATGAACATCTGTCCTTTGTCTGGTGTGGCTTTGGCCTGGCCCAGGAGAGTGTGACATCACCACATCAATCCAGAATAGGTTGTTAAACACTTAATTAGAGTACACAGGTTAAAGGGGGGAAATCAATAAAAATAACTATAGCTACTTCAACTTGGTAACAAAATCACAACCTTAAAAGGGATAGAGACAACAATAACAAATAATAATAATAATAAGGGAAAAGGAAAAGGACAGAACTCGTATAGGTAAATGAAGATAAGATGCTATCACAGAAAAAGGACTATTTTATCTA